CCAACAAGCAAATACTGCGGAGATTTAGTGCTCATTAAATGCAAGATCTGCTGAGCTTCACAGACATGGACTACACACCGGCCAACTTCACTGTTTTGACTGGCTTTACACAATGACAGGTACAGTTTTTGTCACATCTCACACATTTCCGCAGTGGCACTTTTCAGCACAATTAAATTTACACTTTCCTTAGCCCTGTGATACAGTTGCTCCCAGCAAATGTAATAAAGCCCCCCAGATGCCAGATAGAAACACTGCAGTTACCAGATGGTCTGATAGACATTTTCAGAAAAACGTGGAGTTAATATAAAGAGCAGCATGAAGACAGTTCAACTGTCAGTTTAAATCATGCTTCCTGGTAAACACAGATACTGTTTATTATCACTCAGCAACCACTTTACATCATTATCTCAGCACCTTCAGTTACTACCTCACCTTAGTCACAGGAACAGGTTGGAAAATCGAAACAACATATCATTCCCATCTTCCAAGCTGCAGCATTTCTTGCAAGTCTCAGGACCACTCTATCAATTGCATTATTTGAACACAGGACAAATGAACATTTGTTTTAATTTCCTTTAAGGTTAATGGAATGAACAACTTTTTCAAATCTGATCACTAACTACCAGCTTCTTGCTCCCTGTGGGTCACTAGTTACATGCCTCAGGAAATGTCTTACACTGATTCAGTAAATAAAAAGATAAAGTTCAGCTCATTGGACAGAAAAAATTAACACTGATACCAGTGAACTAGCATGCTCTAAACTGTAAGCCTCCAAATAAATGTACTTCTAAACTGAACACCATGGATAACAATCTTCAGAAAAAGCACATAAGCCAGAAACATTCAGCATGGCTTTTTCAAATACCATTCTTACAAAGTGAAGCCTCTTCCCAAAACATATTGGAACTAGTTTTTTAAAATAATTCATTTTATTGCTCACCTCTGGAACATTGCTTAAGGCTTCTTAATACTGAAATAGTGAAAAGCGTAATTTCCTATTTTAAAAGGCAAAGGAAAACCCTCGAGCAGGCAAAGTTTGTAAACTGGCCTTATAAAAGTGCTCCCTTCTCAAATATAGGCATATTTTGAAACACAGATTTACATAAAAGATGCAAATCCACATAATTATAACTGCCACTGTTCTGAATTCCAAGCCTACTGCCAAATTCCAGAGAATTATGTTTCCAAGGGTAAAGAACATTTGACTTCAGGAAGGGAGGGTGTGTGCAAACAAAAACCCCACACTTTACCATCAGAGTTTCTCTTAGAGCATTACAGCAAATGCATTTATGCGCGTTCTGATCGATACGCAATGCACTACACAAAAAAGCTGCTTGCAGTGTCTTGTTTCTTCCAACCTTTTTCAACCAGAGGTGTTTTCTGCCTCAAGTGTTCTGTTTTTTTGCCAGCTGAGTTAGAAATGATATCAGGGTGGTAACTTCTTTCCCCGCTTTGCAAACAACCCTGCATTGCTTTAGATTAGCATACTCGAATTACAGTAGATATCAGCCCAAATATAACAGGCACAAATCAATAACAAGATCATTCAAAAGCCGCTTTACTCTTCCTTCTGTCTCGCAAACGAAATCACATCTCCACAGCTTCAAGCTATTTGCATCTAGTTTCTCCCCACAGATGTCAGGCAGCCAAACCTTGTCAGATGAAAAATTCAAATGCTTTTACTCATTTATATTAGGCAATGTCTCAGCAGTAAATGGGAGGTTGAAAGCATGCAGGAGTGCTTTTTGTTGCTTTTATTCCATACTTATCCCAATTATCTCTCCATATCCTCCCCACATTATCCTACCACACCAGGGTGGTAGGTAACAGTCCTATTCCAGTCAGTTGTGAAGCAGAAGAGCTGCCACACTCAGAGTTCTGCCGGCTGAGTTGTTTATATGAGCACTCCCAAATACGGCAGGCAAAGAGCAGCAGGATTAACGGCCAGTATGGGTTTAAACTGCACAGCAGCCTATCTAACTTGGGCCAGGAACAGGACAACAGGCACCTACAACTCTACCTAGGAGGCAGTCATTTCCAGCAGAGAGAGAACAAACAGTCAAGATGATGGTATCTTCAGTTATTTGCTGGGTAAATGCCAATCTACAGCTCTAGCTCCATCTTTTTCTGCTTCATTCTCCATTTAACTGAAATGCTATTGAGGACTTGCTGCTATTGTTTTGCTCATCTTAGTTATCTACTCTCCCTTCCTTCCTATTCTACTTTCCTGCTTTATTTACATTGTAGTGGTATGCCTTCTGTGCAAACAATGCTTTCTAATCACGGAACACTGCAAAAATTTATTATCATTGCACACTGCAATGAAAGTAGAAAGCAACCCCTGCAAACATACAAAAAGTCCCCCTGCCAAAAGAGTGCAAATCCACAAAACCTCTGCAATTTCCTAACTGTAGGTGTACTCTGCAATAGCTGCAATGTACAAATGACTTTAGCAAGACATAAGTCTTCTCCAAACAGCACAGGCAATTTAAAAAAAAAATGCAGTTACTCAGATAGGTAAGGAAACAAATACTGCTCCAGATGAACTGATTTACTTGCCTGTTCCAGAGCAGCAAGCAGGGCCACATGCTTCTCCCTCATCCTCTGCCTTCCATTTCAAAACAGAACTCATAGCAAAGCTGGACCGAACCCCTTTTTTGAATCCTTCTCCCTTCAAAGAGCCCAGCACCCCAGACTGCTGCTCACAGCAGCACCAGGTAGTATTAGGAGGAAATGGACATCATTCCTTACAGTTCCACTGCTGCCCACAGGGCTTTGAAAATAGCAGCTGTGAATTCAATGAGTGCAGCTGGCCCTATCTGTCCAGACAGGGCAGAAGATCAAATATTGTGACACCCTGCACTGAGGAAAACAGGCCCCAAGGTTGATTTTTACACAAACATTAACAATATTAAGTGGTACAAGTCAGTCTCTTAAACCTCATACACTTACCAAGGAAACAGTGGCACTTGGGAAGTAATTGCTAGTGCTCTTCATAAAGATTTCTCTATAAATTAAGGCCGCCCAATCAGCTTACATTGCAGTACAGGTTTAGATGGGATATCAGCAAAAGGTTAACCACACAGAAACACTGTGGTGCTCATTACTTCAGAAGGTTGTTGAATCCCCTTGTTCAGAGGCGTCAAACACAAAGATTAGGCAAATAGGTGTCTGGAATGACCAGGAACACCTGCTCCTATCTCAGCAGCAGGAGGCAGGACTGGATGCTTCTGAAAACCCTTTAAGCTCCATAATTCTACAGTTAAGTTGTATTGAGATAGAGGAGGCAGGGCGGGGGAAGCCTGTGCCTCAGACAAGCATGAGGAAATAAAACTAGACAAAGCCCCCTTGAAAAAGAAACCTGTTTGTTGGAGAGGAAAAAAGAAAAACAATGAAGAAGCTTCATGCAATGCCCTGCAATTTGCAAACAAACACAGAACACCTGACCACAGTTTTCATAGGTCAGCAACAGTTTAATTACCTTCCACTGGGCAGCTCAAACTATTTCAGCTGTGATTGCAACACAATATCCCCCCTAATAAAACAAACAACCAAAAACACATTTTTAAGAATTATTTGACTATTTTTAAGAATTATTTGCTGCACAGGCCCACAGACTTGGCAAAACACAGGTTAAGCCACCCAGCCTGCGCTGCCGTGCGGCAGATAGCGCGATTAGGTCATTCCAAGCCCCACTGGCCTTCCCCCAACAGCTCTTACTCAACCTCGGGGGTCAGGATCAGCTTTGTGAGAAGCTGCGTTCTGCAGAGAGCCCCGGCCGCTCTGCTCGCACACCAGGCCAGGTTTCCCGCTAACAGCAACAAGGACTTTATTTTTTTTTTTCCCCAGACTAAATAATTAAAACGGCTGGAAGAGACCGATAAGTTTCCCGGCTGCGGCGGGCACGGGGTTTATTCACCAGCAGCTTCCCGCCTCCCGCGTTAGCCATGCGAGGCTCCGCTCCTAACGCGGCAAAAGAAGCGGGGCCCCGCCGCCTCCCGCGGGGCGGCCGCCACAGAGCCCCGCTCCGCCGCGGCTCCCCGCGCCCCCGCCGCCGCCGCCGCGGCGCGGGACGCCAGCGCGGCCCGGCCCTGCCCGCGGGGCGCCGCGGCGCGGCACCTGGAACTGCAGCAGCTTCTCGGTCTGCTCCGCCGTCAGCTCCCGCTCCTCAGGCGCCGCCATTTTCCTGCCGCCTCTGACCCGCCGCTCCGTCACTCTCCGGAACTGACGTCGCCGGCGGCACTTCCGCTCAGGGCGCGCGCACGCGGGCCGGCAGCCCAACAGCCGCTCCTCGGCCGCGGACGGAAATACTCGCAGCCTTCCGGGGGAGGCCGAAGCGCTCACGGAGATCTCCGGAAATGCCCGAACGCCCTCCGAAGGGTTCGCAGGCCCGAGCCGCTCGGGTGCTCCTGATTGGCGCACGAAGAGTTCCGAAGTTTGCCGAAAGCTGCTCGGGCATTTCCGGAGACGGCCGAGGGCGGGGGCCGTCGAGGGCCCGCTCCGTGGCCGTGCGCGCCGCGCTCGCCCGCGGCTGCCGAGAATGTAGATGCCGTAGCCCACGGGGCGCCGCCGCGCGGGCCCCTCTGCCCCGCGTGGGCTCTGTGCAGTCACCCCCACTCTGTCAGGACACCCGTGCACAGGCACCCGCCGCACCCAAGATGGCGGGGGGGGGGGGTCCCAACCAAAATGGCAGCGGGGCCAAAGATGGGCGCGTGGCCAAGGTCGGCGCGGGCCGCAGAGGGTCGGGGGGCTCGTGCTCCCGGGGGAGCGCGGGGCCCAGGGCGGAGCGCAGGGGGCCGCCGCGGCCCCGGGGGCTGAGCTCGGCCCGGGGCCGGCTCCGTGACGCCCGGGCACGGCTGAGCGGGCGGCACGGGCGCGCGCCGCGGGCACAAGGCCCGCCCGGGCGCAGAGCCAGCGGCGGGGGCCCCCCCGCGGCCGCGGCGGGAGCCGGAGCCCCGCGCGCCGCTCCGCGGGGCCCGCCCCGCCGCTGATGTCAGCGCCGCCGCAGTGACAGCTACGCCCGGGCCGCGCCTGCAGCCGGAGCGGCAGCGGCGGGGGCGCCATGGCCGACGACTTCGGCTTCTTCTCGTCGTCCGAGGGCGCCGCTGCCGAGGAGGACCCGGCCGCCGCCTTCCTGGCGCAGCAGGAGAGCGAGATCGCGGGCATCGAGAACGACGAGGGCTTCGGGCCCACCGAGGGCGAGGCGGCGCCCGCCGCGGCCCCGGCCGATGCGGGTGAGCGGCGCGGCCGGGCGCGGGGCCCGCGGGCTGCGACCCGCGGCGCGGGGGGGTTGGATGCCCCGATGGATGGGGTGGGAGGAGGGAGCCCCTCCGGTCTGCACCCCCAGGGCACGGGCTGGGGGGGGCACCCCCGGTGGTCGCCGGATCGGGGTCTCCCGTGGGCTGCACGGTACCCCCAGTGGGCAACGGGGAGCGCCTTGGTGCGGGGGGTCCCGGAGGGCGCCGGGGACCCGCGCTGTGCACGACGTGCGCATGGCAGCAGTGACGGTGCTGCGGGCCCGGCCTTCCTCCCGGCACCCCTGGCCTGGGCTTTCCTGCCGCGGGCCCATCTCCTTTGTGCACCCGGGCCCGCTGCCGGCCGCGTCGCAGCCCCCTGCCCGGCGCAGGGCCAGGGCAGCCAGGAGGGGCGAGGGGACAGCGCAGGGTCCAGGAGGGACTAGAGGACAGCGGGTCACCCAGGCAGTGCTGCCCAGCCTGGCCCGCACACCGCAAGGTGCTTCGGGCTGCAAAACAGAAGGCGTTTCCAGTAGGGACATCTGTGTCACGGCTCCTGGAGGACAGAAGAGGCTGTTTGTGATCGGATGCCTCCGTTTGGGCCTCACCGCCGCCTCCGTCCTTCAGCTCCTTCACCTGGCAGCCCACGGGGCCCTCTCGTGCCGGCAGGTCCCGGCTCCGGCAGCGGGGCCGCCCGGGAAGGCGTTGGTGGCAGGCAGCAGACAGGCCGGTGCTGGGTGTAGCCCCCTCGGAGCCGCGGGGAGGCCCGGGCTGCTGCAGCAACACGCGCTGCCCCTGCCCCGCGCTGGCCTGGCAGGCCGGTGCGCAGCTCTTGGAGTGTGCCCTGGAGCCGGGCGGGATGTGCTGGAGCTGTGGGCACCAGCAGCGCTTCGTTCCCAGCCCCAGTGTCGCAGCTAGTGTCACGCGTGGTCCCCAGCAGGCTCCGTGGGCCCCCCTCCTGGCGCTTTAGTCTTCCCGCTACGTGATCCCCCCGGCACTGCTGCTGTTGGGGGCTCAGCTGGTGGCTTCAGGGCCACCAGGCTCTGCCACCCATGACCTCTGCCTGACCGTGTGCAGCTTGGGGTTTGCTCAGGTTGTCTCTCTGCAGTCAAACTATCTGCCTGTGTCCAGCCTCGTGCCTTAAATAGTCACCCTTATCTCCAGATAAGATAAAACGCCAGTGAAAATACCATAAAGGCATAAATGCCCAGAGAGACTTGTATGTGAGAGGCAGAGGTGCTGGCTGAATCCCGCCAAGAATGGGAGACCATTGAACCCAGCCCTGAGCACCCTCAAAGGTGGAAGGAGACCCCAGGTACCAAATAGCAGCAGCACAGGAAGGATTTGCTGGGTTAGGGCTCTGGGCACCCGTGTAGACATCGCACGTCCCCTTGCTGCTGTCCTCAGGGACGAGGGTCCTGGGGTGGGCTGCACTGTCATGCTCTGCCCTGCTTGGAAAGGGGGCGATTTGGGGTCCTGTTAGCAGTAGGTGGAGCCCATTAGGCTGGGAACAGGGACCTTGCTGGCCTCTGCTTGAGCTCTGACAGCGGCCGTGTATTGTGCTGGCAGCTGGGGGGGTTTGGGCTCAGGCTCTTGTGGACGGCTGTGCCACGCTGGAAGGAGTTAATGCCTCAGGAAGAGATTTGCTGCTGGTTCATGAACAGCAGCCACTGCAGGGTCAGCTGCAGCTGCCATAGCTGTTTTTTTTTTCTCTTTCTTCCTCTCTAGCTGCCTTTCAGAATGGAGGAGCTACTGTCAATGGAGATGTCTTTCAGGTGAGAGCTCAGTCCCTTGCCCTGGCCTGCGCTGCCCAGGGCGATGAGATGGGTATGGGGCCAGCGCTCTGCGCCCGTCCATGGGGCCGGTTGGACGGAGCTCTGCAGCCACGGTCGGCTGTGCTGCTCCTGGGGAACCTGCGTCTCATGCGAGCGAGTCCTGGCTGCTCCATGTCCCTGCCGTGGCCAAGGATTGGGAGTTAGAGCCTTTGGGAGCGGCAGGGCCAGCCTGAGCCTCTCCTGACTGTGCCCCAAAGGTGTTTGCAAGGCGGCTGGGCCCGGAAGGAGGTGCCTGGGTCCTAAGAGCAGATGACAAACCCATAGAAACGCTCTCTCCCCCACAAAGACCCCCTCTCCTGCCCAGCTGGCTCCTGGGGGCCTCTGGGGCTGTCGGGAGCATCTCTTGGCAGGCTTCAGGCCAGGACAGGGTTGCTGTGAGGAAGCCCCTTTGCTGGCACACGGTGGTGGCCGTGCTGCAGAGCCTGGGCAGCGTCTCGCATTAAACCCACTTGCCCCATGGCTAAGGGTGCATTGAGGGGCTCCTGACTCGGTCTCAGCTCCTTCAGGGAGCCCTGGGCCCAGCTGTGGTGGCTATAGGGAAAGTGGCACCGCAGGCTGACAAGCTTTGCACGCTGCTCGGTGCCAAGCGCTGTGGCGTGTGCGTTGCCCGGGCTTAGTTTGCGGGATGATAATCGCATCGGAGACGGGACAGACTTAATTAGATTTGGGGATCTTGGAGAAAAGCTGTAATCCCATCAGCGAGCTTAGCGAGGGGCTGGGTGCCCGCAGCACGGGTGCAGGGTAGGAGAGGGCCACGGGCAGAGCAGGGCACCGCATTGGGGCAGCGAGGGAGGCTTTGGCTGCAGGCAGCTCTGCGGGCAGAGCGGTGCCTTCCTCGCGTCCCTGCGGCTCTTTCGCTGGCCAGGCCTGCGCGGACGCTAATTTTTGGGGTTGCTGCCGCTCCCAGCCCAAGCCAGGGCTGCGGAAGCCGGCGCTGTGACCTCACAGTGAGCGCCGGGCGCGGGGCCACCGGGTGCCCAGCCGTTCCGTGGCGCGTGGAGGACGGCAGTGCCATGTTGGCAGCGCGCAGGCAGCCCGGGAGCAGGGCGCTGGTGAGTGCTGCCGGCTGCGGGGCTGCGCGGCGGTGGCAGCTGGAGCAGTGCTGTGGGGACACTGCCGCAGGCCTGTCACCGTCCCCACCGCGCGCCCCAGCCTGCCGCGGTGCCCTGTCCTGCCGTGTCAGCCCTTCGAGGTGGCTGAGCGGGGCCGCAGGAGAAGCTGATTCTGGTGGTAAAACAGCTGTGTCCTGCAGGAGTCCAACGGTCCCACGGATGCTTACGCAGCCATAGCCAAGGCTGACCGGCTGACCCAGGAGCCCGAGAGCATCCGCAAGTGGAGGGAGGAACAGAAGAAGCGGCTGGAGGAGCTGGGTGAGATGCAAAGCCACACGTGGCCACCCGCACGGCACCTCGTGAGGTAGCAGTTGGGGCTCTTGGGGACCCTCACTTGGCAGCCACCTTGCTGCACCTCAGGGAGGTGTTTGATGCATGTGCCGTATGGATGCCCCTTCCAGTACTCAGCTGCCCTTGGAAGCAGTGATGCCTTTTGGACAGCACTTTAGTGGGGACTAGGGCCTGGGCTGGGGATCTCCCCTGTCGGGAAGAGGTGCCCATCAGTCTGATAGGGTCTGTTTGTCTGGCCCTGGTGTTAGACGCGGCATCGAAGGTGACCGAGCAGGAATGGCGCGAGAAGGCCAAGAAGGACCTGGAGGAGTGGAACCTGCGTCAGAACGAGCAGATGGAGAAGAACCGCGCGAACAACAGGTACGTGGGAGTTGCTGCGGCCGCCGCGGGGCTTGGCGGGAGCTGCCCTACGGCCGTGTTTGCCTCCCTGGGCTGCCCGGGGTGTCCCAGCATCCCGGTGGAGCCCAGTCCTGCAGAGAGGTCACTCTGCCAGACGTGGGGAGAGGCGCCCCTGCCGTGAGCGGCTCCGGTAGCTGCACCAAGAAGGTCGGGGCAAGGTTGGGACGTGGTTTCTCTGCAGCCCTATCACTGGTGGCAGGTTTTCCCGGGGCTCTGCGTGCCGTGGCGGGCCGGTCGCGCTGCGGAGGCCGCTAACCCCTCTCTGTTTCTCTCTCTCTAACCCTCTGCCTGCCTGTCTGCTCCTGCTCTCTCTCTGTGCGCCTCGGGGCTAGGATCGCTGACAAAGCCTTTTACCAGCAGCCGGACGCCGATGTGATTGGCTATGTGTATGTGCTCCCGCCGCGTGTCCTGCCGCGGGCTCCCGCACTCCGGCTGCTCAGCCAAGGGAAGGGGGGAGCTGGGGGGCACGAGGCTCCCATGGGAGCCCTGCTGGGAGGCCGGTCCAGCTGAGCAGCATCTCCAAGTGCTGCCCTCTTAGGAGGCAAGTGGAGCTCTTGAAAATGCCCCCGCAGGGGCTGGTTGAAGAGGCAAAGCTATGGGGGCTTGTGCCTCCAGGGGGACAGCCCCAGTGTCCTGGGAGCAGGCAGGGCCCTCCGTGCCCCTGGATGAATGGTCTCTTGGGTGAGTGCAGCCTGCAGCAGCTTTGAGCAGCTTGAGTCCTCCAACTCCTGGAGGAAGCTGAAGTGCTCTGGAGCGATGGGACTGGGAATGGGGACATAGGGGTTCCCAAGCAGAGGGCAGGGCCCCTTAGGAAGGGCTGGTGACAATCCACGACATCTCTGCAGGGCCTCGGAGGAAGCATTCCTGAAGGAGTCCAAGGAGGAATCCCCGGGCTCTGAGTGGGAGAAGGTGGCCCAGCTCTGTGATTTCAACCCCAAGAGCAGCAAGCAAAGCAAGGATGTGTCGCGGATGCGCTCAGTGCTCATCTCCCTCAAGCAGACGCCCCTGTCCCGCTAGCTGCCGCTGGCACAGCCAGGAGCACGGCCAGGCTCGCTGGGACCGGTGGCTTCACGGGGCCAGCCCATGAAGGGGTCCTTGCCCTGCTGGCCCCTCTGCTCCCTGGTGTGCACCTCGGCTGTGCTCGAGGCTCCGGTTGTAACTCTCCCCATGGTTTTCCTTTGCTTAAAAGGTGCATTGGTCTCTTTTTACACTTATTTATTACTGTGGCATTTCCCTGGGAAGCAACACTAAGTGACAGAGCTGAGTTAGTGAGGGCCCCCAGCTTGCACTGTGAGGGGGTCATGCCCAGGGCTGGGCTCAGTGAGCTGCTGGGGTTCCTTGTGTCCCCTGGTGCCCAGACTGGGATTGATCTTGCCTGCTCCTTGCCCCAGTGCTGGGCTGCCCCAGGCGGGACAGTCCTGTGCCTGGGCTTGGATCCTGCTCCTCAAGCGGAGCTGGCCGTGGGGCTGGGAGGGAGGAACTCTCTGCTCTGCAGCTCCCACTGGGAGCAGGAGAGCAGCGGGATGCTACTGGGGCACTGAGGAAGGCAAAGGTGGGTGCCCAGGCAGGGCCAAGAGTGCCCTGCTTGGGGAGCAGGGCTCTGCCCGGCCTGGCTGCACAGCCGGCTCTGGAGCCCCCGGCCTGCAGACCGCGGGGAAGGAGCCACTGGGGTGAGTGTTGAGGGCATTTTTGGTCCTTTTCCAAGGCTGCTGCCATCGGGAAGATGCTTTGGGGGCTTTTGGGGCTGCTCTGCTCCTTCCTCTGCTGTCAGGAGGGGAGCTGGAGACTGTGCAGCTGTGGGGCGGCAGCTAGGAAGGACCAGGGGCTGTGGGAAAGCTCAGGCCTCCAACCTTCTAACCCAGGAGGGCAGAGCAAGATTGGGCAGTTTAGACACTGGGGGTGGTTTTACTCCCAGAGAACAACCCTGCACATCTTTTTGCAGCTGGACAGCTGCTCTATAGCTCCTGCCCGGCTCAGCCCCCCTGGATTTACCCTCTTTGGGCAGCAAGGAGAGATGCTCCAGCCCCGCTTCCCCGCAGGCAGAGCCTGCAGCCCAAGCCCTGCTCCCATCCCCTGCCTGCTGCTGTCCCCTGCGGCCGTGAGGCCCAGCCTTGGAACATGCAGCTTTATGCACAAGAGGGCAGGGCAGACGAGCTGGCGCCCTCCAGCCTGGGCTCCCTGCCTGCTGTGTGGGGGGCTTGGAAAGGGCTCCCCGAGTGGGGAGAAAGCAGCGACCCAGAGCAAAATCTGTAGGGAGCTTGTGCGAGCCTTGCTGCAGAGCCCTGCCCAAGCTGCAAAGCGAGTGCATGCTACTGCTGCTGCTGTTGCTGCTGCAGCTGCCCCAGAGCTGTGGGGCACAGCCCGCGGGGCTCCTTGCTGCTGCTGGAGCTGCCTGGCAGCTCTGGAGGCTGTCTCAGTGGCTGGCAGGGGGCTGTGCAGGAAGCCACCCAATGTTCCGTGCTGGGATTGTGCCCCCTTGTCCTTAAGGCTGATTCCTCGTTTGCCACTCTCTTTGCTCTGGCATGTCTAGACAGCTCTGCTGTGGCCTGGGACGGATACAGATGGCAGGATGATGGGGGGATTTAGCCGCCTGCCTCTGCCTTTCACTCCAGAGCCGCTGGAAGCCCCTCTGGCTGCTTTCCAGGGACAGGGAGCCTCCCTGCCCTCTGGGCTGGCAGGAGATTCCCCGTCCAGCTGCAGAATGCAGCCAGGGCTTCCCGCGGGCCCAGACCCCCGATCCCGCAGCCACAGGCGCCGCTGCCGCCCGGCGCCGGCCACGTAGGGCCAGCCAGCTCTCAGGGAGCAGTGCCCACAGCTCCTCTACATCCCCCAGCTTTGGTATATGTGACTGTTCAAATCACCTATTACAATAAAGCAACATCTCCAAACTGACACTATGGGGCACTGCTTTCTTTCCGCTTCAGCACCATGTTCGTGCATGTTCAAGAGAACCTGCATCTACAAAGCATTCTGCAGGAGGGACAGAGCTGCAGGAGACCCACATCCTACAGGGAAAGAAATGGGAGCAAGGTGGGGAGGGGGCTTGAAATTTGCTCTCGGCTCCCCTCCAAGCAGCAGCAGCAGGACTGGAGGACAGGAGCTGTCCTCTGCTTACAGAGCTGGTCAGATGATGCCCATCAGGAAAGACCAAGTGGAGCTGGGCAAGCTGCTCTGGAGCCTCCTGCACCATCTTCAAGCAGCTGCTCTTGCACAGCCCCATCCTGCAAGGGAATGTTCAGGCTCTGAGAGCCCTCCAGGAATGAGGCTCCCCAAGAGCTGCCTGTCAGCAGCTTCACTCACATCCTCTCCACAGCAGCCACGGCTGGAAGCGCCAGTGAGGTAGCCAAAAACCGAAATTTATTCTGGGAAAGTTGTAGCTAATGAGGGAAGAGCAGCAGCTCCAAAGAGCAGGCTGGGCACGTTCCTCAGAGCAGGCAGAGCCCTGGGCTCCTCGTGCTCACCCAGCTCTGCTCTCATAACGGATCAGCCTGTGTGTGAGAAGAGCTTGTGGCCATTCGAGTCTTCCCCAAGTTTTGCCTCCCTCGTCATGCCCCCCTGGCACCACAGCGCCCAGATGAGACAAGCCAGGGGTTGTCTGCAGACAGAGGCAGCTTCCTTCACACTGTGACTTCAAGCAGCTAGCAAGGATGGAGCGGGATCAGCAAATTGCCGGGCAGCTGGCTGTAAGGTTACCAAAGGCCAGGGTGAGTGTGGGCAAGGACGGGCAGCCACCCAAACAGCAGAGCCTTCTGCACCTGTCAGGAAATCCTTGGGGCACGGGGCGGCCGGAGGCTTCACTTCACACTCCGGAGCACCCTCCGCCTCTCCCTTTGCAGGCACGGCCTCTGTCTAGCGGCAGGTTGCAGAATGTAAACACAGCAGCCTTGCAACTAAATCTGAGGGAAATGGGGCTGATGTGCAGCTCAGACACAGCAGCAAAGCGTCACTACCCTCGTCACCCACAAATGATCCTTGGTAGGATCTAAATGATTTGGATGATGACTTGAGCCACCTGCAAAGATGTTAGTCATGACATGGGAAATGGGAGTCCCTTTGGGAACAGCATTCTTGCAAAGCAGTTAGTTCAGGGTGACGAGAAGCAGCAAGTTCGGCAGGAACTCGCTTCCTACTAAACACAGCGGGAACAGCAGCGCGTTGCAGAGGGCAGGCGGAGCCCGTGCCGGGGGTCGCAGCTCCCACGCTGTTGTCACAAGGAGCCGGCTCCACGTCTGGTGCCCACCTTGCATCCCCAGAGCTGCAGGGCGGCAGCGCCTCCCCCCCCCGTTCCTTCCCACACTCTTTATGCCTCTGCCTCCTCCCTGTCTGCAACTCCGTGTCAGTCGGAATGCCGCCGCAATTCACTTTATTACCCACAGTTTGTGACTGAACGGACTACAGCTCAGCAGGGACGCCGGAACCCTGCCCTGCAGGGACCAAGCCCCAGCCAGGGCCGTTCCTGCTGCGTTTCCCAACCTCTTCTCGTTAATCCGCCTGGATTAAACGCGAGTATCAGCGGAGACGAGCGAGAAGGAAAAACATTTTACCAGGCAGCGCTGGCGGGCGGCCTCGGCAGGACGCGGCTTCTCGGCGAGCAAGGAAAGGCCAGGCGCACGCTTCGCGTTACCGCAGCCGTGTATTAGCAGCGGGCGGGCGCCGGGCGGGCCGGCCCCGCGGCGCCGTCACTGCCGGGCCTTGGCGGCGGCGGCCGCCATGCCGCCCAGCAGCGCCGCCACCGTGAAGCCCTGCGCCACGACGCGCGCGCGCATCAGCAGCTGCGAGCGCTGCACGTCGCCCTTCTTGAAGCTGACGAGCCCCCAGGCGAGCACGGCGGCGGTGCAGAGGCAGCCTGCGCGGGGCACGGCGTGAGCGCGGCCGCCCGCCCTGCCCCGCCGCCCCGCGCCGCCCCGCCGCCGCCGCTCACCCAGGGGCACCAGGGGGTTCTCGCGCGTCTTGCGCAGGAACTTCTCGCTGAAACTCTCATCGCGGAACACGGGCGGCAGCTCCGGCGGCAGCTCCGGCGGCCCCGTCTCCATGGCCACGAAGGTGACTCCGCGCGACCCTCGCCGGCCGCCGTAGCCGAGCACCGGAGCGCTCCCGCCGGTCCTCACTGCGCGGCGCGCTCGCTCCCGGCAGGCCGCGCGCGCGCCCCCTGCCCGCCCCGCCGCGGGGCACTCTGGGGGTTGTAGTCCCCATCGCGGGGCTCGCCGCGGGCGGCGCGGCGCGCGCGGACTGCGCTTCCCGTGGTGCCCCGCGGCGCCCCCCGCCGCGCTGCCCGCAGGACTACGTGTCCCATAGCGCCTCGCGGCGCCGCCCGCAGGACTACGCTTCCCGTGGTGCCCCGCGGCCGCGTGCGCGCGCGCAGCAGCCATGCCGAAGGCCAAGGGCAAGAGCCGGCGGCAGAAGTTCTCCTACAACGTCAACCGCAAGCGGCTCTACCGCAGCGCGCGCCGCCGCGCCAGGCCCCGCATCGAGTGGTGAGCGGCGGGCACGCGTGTCCGGGCCGCGGCCGGGCGGGGAGGACGCGCGGGGGTGGTCGCGGCGGCGCGGCCCGCGCTGACGCCTGTCCCCGCAGCGCGCACGTGCGCCATGCCTGGGACCCCGCCAAGTCGGTGGCGCAGAACCTGGCCGACATGGGCCTGGCCGAGGACCCCAACAAGGCCGTCCCCATCGCCAGGAAGGCGCTGCTGGTGAGTGGGGCCCGGGAGCGGCGGCGGGCGCCGTGCGGGGCCGGCGGCTCCGCGGTCCCGAGGGGCGCTGGGTGTAGAGATGGGCAGATACGTTACAGGAAAAGAACGGCTTTAGAGTCAGGTAAACGCAATCTCCCGGGGGGTTGCGGCTGGCACTGGGAGCGCTGCAGCCCCCTCTCTTTAGCTAGCAAGGAAAAGGAGCCCCTATAAAGCTGTGAGCGCGGCCTGCCCTCGCCCGTGGAGGAAGCAGCTGCCTAGAAATGGCCCTGTGAAATGCAGCTCTAGTGACGGAGACCAGAAGTGACCTGTTTGCTGTAGACACTTGTCCCTGTGCACACACTCCAGGCACAGAGGGGCTGTGCAGAGATTGCTCGTGATGGGCAGTGCTCTGTTGAACCATGCAGCTTTGCCTGTAGACTAGTTTAATAACACAAAACAAATCTCTGTTCAATCCTCTGAGATTCCCAAGTTGCAGGGCCGTTATGGACACAGCAGGGTTTCAGGAGCAGGGTGCAGGTGCCAGCCCTCCTCCCTGTGGACTTTCCTTTAATTGTCTTGTTTCTCAGTCAACGCAGGCAGCAGAGGGAGATGATGGAAGTGATGGACAAGAGAAAGGGAAGAAGACCGTGATAAAGCCCTACGTGTTGAATGGTTAGTGCTGCTTTATGGCCCTTCACGTGCACAGTCGTGGCGGGTCTGCTGCTGCGTCTCACTGTTGTCACTGTACTTGGAGCTCTGTTCCCTAGTCCCAGGGGATCCATTTGTTCCTCATTTTTGTCCTGCAGAACTGTCTATAGCTGTTGTGCTCTGCAAAGAAAGCTCCTTATTCTTGAATGCTCTTTCCTTGCTTTAGAGGATTTAAGACTCATGGGCTGGTGGAGCAGCAGCCTCCTGGTTTGGAGAGTTCCCAGCCGAGGCTGGAGTGGAGCCAGGAGCTGACACAGTCGTTCTGCCCTTCTAGCGTGCAGTGTCGCTCATGACTTTCCATCCTATTTTGCCTTAATCTTAAGGCTTTGTCTGCCACCCTAAGAGGGCTCTTATCGCTCCGAGACTTTCTTGTCACTCGTGTGACTCGTGGGTCTGTAGCACCTTGATTGTTTTAGTGGTGGCTGCATGGCTCCAAAGAGTTGCACGCTGAGCCATGAGAAGGTTTGTTCCTTTCTTGGAGTTCGAGTTGGGCAGGAGCAGCAGCACAGACGTAGGCACCTGCAGCACTGGCGAGAGGCTGTTCTCTCCTTCCTTCTCTTGTGCTGTCAGGCTGTTTAACAGTCCAGTGTGTGAGCTACGCTGCATGAAGCAGTTTCTCTTTCTCAAGCGCCATCAGGATCAATCTGTGGAGGCAGCTGGCATCCTTTGAGGTGCTGCTGGGTCCTGTTCATGCCTGCCAGCCTCATGGTGTCTTTGTCTTCTGCTAGAAATGGAATATGAGGCCAGCCTCCCTGAGAAGAAGTCAAACACGCTCTCACGAGACCTCATTGACTATGTGCGATACATGATACAGAATCACGGGGAGAACTACAAGGTAGGTGCTGGCTGCCCCAGAGCAAGGAGGACCTGGAGCTCCTCATTGTTGGCTTGTGCAGGGAGGGAAATGCTAAAGGATCTGTGTCCTGGAACCAGTTTTCTAGCCTGGCCTGGTTTTCTAAGGGGAGGCAGCGCTTTGAATCGTGGCCAGACACTTGTCTGACTCAGGTGCCAAATTGCAGCCAGCCTGGGTGGACCTGCCTGTTGAGAGTGGTTCTGATGACTGGGCTGGCTTGGGTGTTTGCTCATGTGGCCGCTCCTCTAAGTTACCCTCCTTCCTCTGTCACAGGAAATGGCCCGAGATGAGAAGAACTACTACCAGGATACTCCCAAGCAGATCAAGAGGAAGATCAACGTGTACAAGAACTTCTATCCTGAGGAGTACAAAGCTTTTATTGCATCGCTCAAGCAGGAAAAGATGGATGTGCAGTGACCAGGGAGTTCCTGTTCTCAGCTTTGCCTGCAATTGCAGGCCTGATGCTATCACTTTTTAAGGGGCGACGGTCACTCACAGGCTGTGAGTCCTGGGCCAGGACTCAGTGCCTGCAAGTCGAAGCCTTTGGGGATGGAAGAAGGACCTTCATGAGACAGGATGCCATTATGGCCAGGCTTGAGTGACTTGTGGCTGAGGCTTTTGGTCTTGGGGCTGAGTGTGCTGTGCCGCTCCCTGCTTCTCTTACCTTGTTATAATAAATGGCTTTTTCATACTGGTGTGAATATGTCTGGCTCGAGGACTTCCATTCCTGCTCGTGCATGGAGCAGTCCCTGCTTCGAAGAGTTCTTTGTGCCGACCTGCAGGCTGTAGGTGCTGGGCCCGCGTGTCACTGAGGATCCTCTGCAGCTGTGCGTTTGGGGTGCCTGGAGGGATGGGGGCAAAGCCCGCGGCTTTCCCTGCAAGTAGCAGAGCTAAGAGCTGTTTCCCCCAGGAGGGACCTCCCTCCTGCAGCTGGGCGCTGCCTTCCCTTCCAAGGAGAGGGAGGACAAAGCAGGGTGATTTATCTCTTTTATTGCAAGAGAGTACAAAAGCTTCACAGACCAGCCAGCACATGCCCCTTCTTCTTGATGTGTTCTCCAGCTCCCCCTGTTTTTCAGGACCCAGTGTACTCTGACCTAACCAACACATCTCCCCAGGCTGCCAGGTGTGCAGTGCCAGATCCTGCCTCCTTCCCCAGGGCACTGGAGAGGGAAGGAGACCATAAGGTGGGCGGATTCCTGCTCAGTGAGATTCCTCCGGAGTGCCCTGGCTCTCGGCCCTGCTCCGGGTCCCCCCTTCCTGCTGCCCCCTTCCTGCTTTTAAGTACAAAGTCCGGGGAGGTGCTGGGGATTGGGCCTTGCACCCGCAGCGAGCGGCAGCCTGAGCTGGTTCTTCCTGCTGGGGCCTGGCGCTGGCCCGGCGGGCTGGGAAGCGGTGACACGCGCCTCTGTAAGCGGTTACTCAGCGTGTTGCTCAGGAAGGAGTGTCCATGTAGCCTTTATCAGGTCGGGAAAGCAGCCAGGAGAGCCGCTCGGTTGGGTCGGCTGCCCTGATGGCTGAGAGAGCTGCGGGGCAGCGTCCTTCCCCGGAGCGGGATAAAACAGACCAGCGGTTCCCGCTGCCTGCGCCATGCGCTGCAGGGCATCGTCCCCTGCCGTCCCGCGGGGGGACATGGCTGCATGGGCCTGCTGGCAGGTACCGCAACACCGGGACACGGCTGCAGCAGGGCTCTGTCCCAGGGCATCGCCAGGGGCTGCCCAGGCACCTGGAGCTGTCCCCGTGGCTGAGGGAACTGCCTCCCTCCGCAAAACTTCCTCGTGACACTGCCGTCTGGCTCGGCGCGCTCACCATCGCCCTGCCCTGTGCTGGCACTTGAGGGGGCTGCTTCCAATGCTCAGCCCCACTCCTTTAAAACCTTACTCAGCTGCTGTGAAGGCACGAGGCTCTGCCCTGTGCTGAACCCTGCCTGCCAACCTGGAGGTAAAATCTGTGCTTGTGCCTCCATCCCAAGGAGACTCTGCTCTCAGCGGGGCGAGGTGGTTGCGCTCTCCCTTTGGCAGAGACCAGAGCCTGCTGCTCTTGTTCCCTGAGGGCAACCTGCACCTCAGCTGTACCCCACGTCTCTCAGGGTGCAGCGAACACATTACCAGGCCAGGAGGCTGCTAACAGCGCGACACAGCCCCCGGCTGCTCCCGTCCCGCTGTCTCTGTCCTGCCACCGTCCTCTTGGAAAGGGAAGCTCTTCTGGGGTCGGAGTGGGCACCCCGAGCACTCAGGGCTGGGAGAGCAGGGTGACCAGCAGGCTCCTGAGGTGCAGGACGCTGGTGGCAGTGCTGAGGCTGGCCCAGGTCGCGCTGGTGGGCAGGAGGAAGAAGTCCCGCTGGCCGCCGAGCGTGTGCAGGGCCAGCTCGTCGCGCAGCTCCTCCGCGCTCAGGGCATCGCTCTTGTCCTGCAGCAACAGGGGACAGGACTTGGTTCAGGAGAGCCTTGGACGTCCTGCTGACCCGTGACCATTCTTGCAGGCTGTGACCAGCACGGTGACCAGGACATCCTGCCCAACAGGAACCCCGTCCTGCTCGTGCAGTCCTAGCAGAGCCCGTGCCAGGCAGGGCCTCTTTCCTCTCGCATTTTGAATCACTTCAGCGCAAAATAATAGGAAGCAGCGGCAGGCACGCGCTTGGCCGCCTGCCTGGAAAATGTATTTCCCCTGTGGGTCTTTGCGCACTGCTGCGTGCCGGGGTGCTTTCCCAAAACTCATTAGCTGATGCAAGAGGAGCGGCTCCCACTGCTAACGGCAGCCTTACCTTGGGATAAAGAAGACAAGCCCTGATAACGTGGATTTTGCCAGAGATGATGGAGATTGGGTGTCAGGCTTTGCCCTCGGGACCCACGAAGGGACGGTTCCCCTGCAGTCAGAGCGGGTGGGAGCAGGGGGACCGTCGCGGGGGGCAGACACCCACCTGCTTGTTGGCCAGCACGACCAGGGGCAGCCGCGGCTCCTCGGCCAGCAGCGCGTGAAGCTCCCGGCGCGCCGTGACCAGGCGCGACCTGTCCACCGAGTCCACCACGAACACCAGCACGTGGGCCTGGCTCAGGTAGTGCGGCCAGTAGGAGCGCAGGTTCTGGTTGCCACCCACTGTGGGGAGAGAGGCTGGCTCAAGCGCCCAGGGAAAATGGGGAGCCGAGGGCTCCAGCGGGGCTCCCCTTTATGGGGCTTGCAGGAACAGGGTAAATGTTCTGGGGGGCAGAGGGAGGGCCAGGCCAGCCGTACCCTCCAGCAGCTCCATCTCCAGCCCCTCCGTGCACAGACGGGCCGATTTGAAGCCCTGCGTGGGCGCCATGGTCTCCTTGGCCGTCCTGCTGCAGATGTAGTGCAGGACGCTGCTCTTCCCTGCTCCGTCCAGCCCCAGCACCAGCACCTGCCTCCAGTCCAGCTGCAGCACAGGACAGAGCGCAGCTGGGCAGGGCAGCCCCACATTCCGGAGCTCCCAGCCCCATACTAGGGCAGCAGGAGGTTCAGGACCCAGCCTGCAGCCATGGGTCCTGCCAGCCCCCAGAGGTATCCCACCCTGCACCCCTTTTGCCAGACTAATGGGATCCCAGGGCTTTCCAAACCCCGGGCTCTCTTCCTCCCCTGGACAGGCTTGGGGAGGATTCTGGCAGGATCCCAGGGATAGCGACACCCTGCGCCCTTTTCTCCACCTCAGGAGCTCCAGGGGCGATTCCCCCTCCCCTATATGACCGGGTACAAAAGGGTCCTGGGGAGGATCCAGGGGAAGATCCCAGGAGGATCCAGACCCTCAGCCCCTTCCCTGGGCCCATGGGCTCTAGGGGCATCCTGGCGATCCCGGCTCCGTGCTTCCTTCCCGGTTGGATGGGCTTGGAAGGGGATCCGGGTGCTGATCTCCACCCTGCCCCTATCCCGGCCGCCTGTGCTCCGGGAGGTATCCTGGTGCGGGTCGGGGATCCCGGGGGGGACGAAGGCCCTGCCCCCCACGACCCCGCGACGGGAGCTCCACTCCGCGCCCGTCCAGCTTCTCGGTGGCCTCGGGGAAAGGGCCCCCCGGGGGCCGCCCCGCCGCTCTTACCGCGCCGTCGGGGGGCTCCCGGCTCTGCTGCTCGCGCAGCTCGCGCAGCTCCCGCTCCCACCAGCCGTCCCAGCCGGCGCAGGTGCCGCCGCGGTGGAAATAGACCTTCCAGGCGATGCAGAGCAGCGAGCCCAGGGCGGCCACGGCGGCGCCCAGCGCCAGCGCCAGGTGCCGGAAGGCACCGGCCGGCGCCATGTGCCCCCGGCGCCGCT